ACCTCTTGTATTCACTGAGCAAACAAAGCTGCTTTCAAAGCGCACACGCACACTACACTGTCATCAACTTAATAACTTAATGTGACTTAATCACATCATATAAAAATTAGAAACTAAGCTTACTTTGAAATTAACACGTGTGAAGTCTGAGTATAAACAATTTAATTCTAAACATCAACTGATAATATTTATGAGAAATCTTAACTATGGGTTTCCGAGTCCAAAATCTCCATTTCAAACATATTGTTATCTCCGTGTTATCAAAGTGCATGACGATATGTTATATACAGACTTTAGCCTCAGAAACCAACCTTTAGTACTTTGAAGGTCCAATCACAACAAACATTTGATCAAACATTGGAAGTAATAATGACACAATATAGTTGTGTAATGCATATGGTGCATGTGAGCTGCATGATAATTTCCTGCTCCTCAAAACCCTCACGTCTTCTGTGAAAGCCTCTCTACGGCGGCGAACACTAGTCTCAGTGCGTGTGTTAACTTCGTGCGGTAAAGTCCTTTCTACAGATTAAATAACGATTTAGTATTAAACAATATTTAAACATCGTCCTGGCTACGTCTGTCTGTTGGTATGTCATTTTGCATCTTACTTCTTATCGTATCTTACTAATATTATTACTATGGCATTGCTGATGTCCATGGGCGTCGTTAACACCTCGGTGTTCCCGCTGCTCGTTTGCCCCCTTCTGTTATAAAAAAAATATATAAATAAATATATATTTATATATATATATATATAAATGCGAATGTTTGGATGTTTTAATGTTTGTTTAAATCTCCAGAACGGTTGAACGAATGTTAATGAAATTTGTCATAGATGTAGAACATAGTCTGGAAGAACACAAGGTACTAATTAGGGTTTTTTTTTTAATTTCGCGCGGACGGAGTCGGTATTTATAGCTCGCTATTAATGCATTACGATACTTATTTTGTCTTCCATAATTCTATAAGCATTTGTACATTTTTTTATTACGAAGTTAAAACACTTTCTTTATTAACTTTATAGTGATTTAGTCACGATTTGTGCATACGCTGCCTGCCCCATTAACCGAAATGTCGCGGCGTATCATTATATTTAATAGCTTACGATCTATCATCTCACACTTTCCAGTTTAATTATGATTAGCAATTGCCCGCGACTTCGTCCGCGTGGAAATAAAAATAGTCTAGTAATATGTATAATATAACATGTCAAATATGTCGCCCGTAGTTCGTGAAGATTCCTAACAGGGAAAGAAGTTGTCAAATCGGTTCAGTACTTTCGAAGTCTATTCAATGCAAGAAAAACAATAAATATAGATAAAAATTTAGATGTAGCTTTGATATAATAAAAAAGTCTCGTCTGTTTTTGATTTATATTAATCTTATATATATTTTACTATATTTACTAGTCCACAAGCCTTTATGGTGTATTACATTTATTCTCGTTATAAGCGAAACTTAGTGTTGATGAAGATCTTTAAACCGAAATGCTTCTTGATTAATAACCACACAAAAATGTTGTCTTTAGTACCTACAAATTACATCTTGATTCCAAAAACAAAACCAATTTCCTAATAATATATGTAGGTATTCATTACCAGTGGTTTCCACTGCCGGGAATCTTCTACAAAAACATGTTCTTATACAATGGAAACTCATGTGCAGACTTACACTTTCTTATCATTTACAATTTCATGTTGGACAATCGTGCTGCATGTAAAAGTGCCAAGTGTCGTGTTAAATATTTTATCGCAGCAATATTACGTAAGGCTATGATCGGACCACTTGGGAATACATACTGATAGAGGCTTTCAAGTGTTCTTTCTACTATACTGTCTTTAAACCGAATTCAAAATTGGTTGTCAATTCCTCTTATTATATTTTCTATTTTTGTTACTTCATAAGTCAATTCCTGGTTGTCAGATTTACATAATTCTTTTCTGATTCAAAAGGTATTGAGTGTCATTTGCTTCCATTGTATATAATTAAAAAACACTTTTTATTTGCGGCCTAGGTAGGTTATGGGTTAAAACAGTTGTAAATGAAAAACAAATTTATTAGTTCTAGGCTAAGCAAACTCAATGGGACTTACTAAGCTAAGATACTGAGTAAGCAAAGATTCAAAATGCAGTAACTAATATTTATCTTTAGTTCTGATATCTAAAGTCTTGGCTTAATAGATTAAGATCGTCGTTAGATGTATGTTATGTCCTAGATTTAACTTAAAGTTACTATTTAGTAATTCCTAAGACGCTACGCCTAATAATAACTTTCCCTCTCATATAGAATTTAAAAATAGCTCTCCGTTACGCTTCTTCACCTCGTGTCCGTTATTACTGCCTGTACAAAAACCGTAATGGATCAAACACGTAGCAATGACACGGCCGTCGATCGCAAATCTATGCGGCCGCACGTTTTGTGCAAATAATGTTATGTTAACACGCAGCTGAAGGACGTGGATTGAATTTTAATATCAAAATGGTTCCGTACATTTAATATTAATATAGTCTGGACGAACCTATAGGCTAGTTATTAAGTTTTTTTTTTATACTGCGCGGAAGGAATCGCACGCGTCACCTGATAAAATTCATCATAAATCCAAACTAAACGTCTTTTTAAGTAGAAATTAAGTGTGACAGTTAACTATTAGTTTAACCTAAACGCCTAACGGAACTCTTTCGGTGCCGCGTATTAATTATAACGATGGTATTTTTGCATTTTTAATAAAGCAATATTAAATACCACTTTCCCCAGTTGGTGGTGGAAAAGCGCGAAAGTTAGTTGTCGTCCGGGGGCCGTGGTGAGCGGTTGCGTAACGCCGTACAAATAGAATTAGCTAGCCCGATAACTCTTAACCGGGAGTCTTAATATACATCGCATGCCGCGCGATGTGGAACGAACGTGGACGAATATAGCTACTGCACTCGGTTGCAATCTTGTCTGTTTGTATGTCGCTTTTAATGAGTCATCGCATTCGTGTCGCGGCCGGATTTATTACTGAACACTTCCGGTGGTAATATTTGTTTTAATAATAATAAGTAAATATTGTAGATAATATAAGGATGGATCTCAACGAGTTTTATAAGGATTCCTAATTGTTTACCTTGACATTGTTATTGTTCGTATTCGTTTGCAGATAAATGGGTATCGAACTATTTTAAGCTAAACCGAATTATTTCTTATTATAAAAATAATTTATACGAAAAGGTATAAAAAGGGTTTAACCTTATAATCATTAACAATATTTAAAGCCATAAAGTTACAAAGAAAAAAAAAATTCGAATAACACACAAGATTAGCTGCTTACATTTATTTCTTACGTTAGTGAAAGTGTGTGTTTGTGTGTAGAGGCATTTATATACGTGCTTCGTTCAATTTTCGACAGCTTTCTCGAGGTGAGAATGGAGATGCGTCTTGTATTCCACGCATATGCTAGACACATAACGGTTGCATAATGCGGACTACATAATGTTCGCGCACTTTTGTACTTGTTTTGAATGATAATTTTTCTTGTTACGATAACACTTTTGTTACTCTTAAATAACATATAGGGATTTCATTTTACTATTAAGTTTGTATATACGTAATACATTATGTACTAATAATTTTGAAATTTAAGCGTAGTTAGCAATAAATTACTCATAATCTGACTAACATAAACGAATGTTTGGATGGATGGATAGATGTTTGTTGTTGATATCTCCAGTTCGTCTATCTCCATGGATTTCGCTGAAATGTGGCATAGATTTAGAACATAATCAGGAAAACCACATAGCTTACTTATTGAGTTTTTTTAATCTTCTCAGACGGAGTCGCGGGCGACAGCTAGTAACCTATATTATTGTAGAATAATCAATTCTAGTTATAATAAATTGTTAAGATAAAATAATCCCGTTATTACTAAATACAACACAGAGTTTACGAGAAAAAGTTAGGTACACACTTTTGTAGAAGCGTCTTAAAACTCATAAATTTAAGTTTTTTTTTTGTGTTCCGGAACAACGGTGTATCCGATACACGTGCGTATGGGTTTTTTAATTTTTGTTTTTTTTTTGTGGTTAACGACCCTATATGCAAGGATATAAAATGAACTATACCAGTGGTTCCCAAACTTATTTAGTCTACTGCCCACTTTGGGAATAAATATTATTTTAGCGACTCCATATTTTCACATATTTAAAACCACTATAACTTCAATATAAATTAGTAAAATTATTGTGAACTATAAATGTATATTAACGGAGAATTCTAAACGAAACTTTTACTATAACCCGCAACTTGAGACCTGCAGCGCCCACAAGGGGGCGTTATCGCCCACTTTGGGAAAGACTGAACTATACGGTTGATTAGAAAGACATTGCCTTTTTAGGATATTTTCAATCGTACGTGTGTATATTATAACTATTATTGCTTAAGCCTGCCAACCTTTTATAGTAGACTATTGTAATATAAACAAGAGATTAAATTGTATATAACTTGACTTTGCTGTCGCCCGCAACTTACGCATAAGCACGGCGAAATTAAAAGTTTACTTAGTAAGTAGGCTATATGTTCTTCCAGACTGTGTGATCTGTGTCAAATATCATTAGGATCCGTTGAGTCATTTCGGAGATCCATGCATACATTTCGTATTTATATGTTTCTTTAAACTAAAGTCATAATTATTTTTTATTCATAAATAAATATAAAAAAATAAAAATCGATTGTTAAGGAAGTAATATGTAAGCTTAATGACATTTAAAATTACTAGAATTAAATGTTAAGAATAAGTGAAAGCAAGTTGTGCAATAATTGCTAAAATGAACTTGCACTACTGTTTTAACTGTTCTGTGGTCCAGTTAGACAATAGGACAATTGCTACAATTACTTATATATTATATACAGTTGTGTTTATGTTTGAGATAAGCCTTTATGTAATGCTAGAAATTTTACTATGGATTAAAATTATTTAAACAAATATCTCAGTCAGTATTAAATAGAATTGTGTTATTTGACAGACGACAGACAGCGCGGATTTCCTGGCGGTGCGTCCACACACAGCTTCAGTGCTGCCGGGCAAGCCCGCTGGCAACCCGCTGCAATTCATCAAGGTCGGGCCCGCTGACCTCGGCAGCCGTGCGCGGGAACAGCTGCGACGAGCGCAGGCCGCAAAGCGCGTTGAGCCTGCCGCGCTAGAGAGACAGGAGGACTGGCAGTCTGTGAGTAACAATGAGCTTTAACTAACCCAAACCACGCGTTGACGTCGCTGCATCTACGCGTCGTCGACGCGTCAAGTGTTACTAACTATTTTAACAAGTTTTAATCTAAGCATCTTTTAAATATAGAACTATCAATAAGGTGGAGATAGAAGACCGAAGTATGCATGGATGGATTGTTTGATAGATAATATGCACAAAAAGACAGTAAATTCAGATATGACGGCTGACTAATGTATGGAGAAATTATCAACTCACTGTGCCTTAGTAAATAAAAGGACATACTGTTGATGTAATTTAAGACCTATTTTATATGAAATAGAGTCGCATTTAGAAAGTTTGAGACGAAATTACAAATGTACAAAGATGTAAAATTGCCAGTTGTGTTTAAATCCGGTGAAACTATAATATTATATTGATAATTATCACGTACTATTTGTTCTCGAACATTCCTCGCGTGATCTATCGGAGCCGGTGAGTTGTGCGTGCGGTGTGTGCGTGCCGCTTGCCTCAATGAACTGCTACTTGTATGTCTTGTCTATATATCAAATAGTACAAGATATTAAAACGATACAATAATTTGTACAGTGTCATTCATATTTTATTGCTTTTGAAAATGATTTAAAATAAGAAGCAGGCACATACTTCTTACTAATATTATAAATGCTAAGTTTAGATGGCTGGATGTTTGTTAGAAGGTATCTCCATAACGGCTCAACGGATCTTAATAAAATTTGACATACATGTAGAACATAGTCTTTAGGAATACATAACCTTATTATTTTAAAAAAAATTGTATCCTTTGAAGTCGCAAGCGACAGCTAGTTCCAGATATATGTATTTCTGCATGACATTTGCTTCAGTTTAAACGCCAAAACACAAATAATTTATGGTAATTTTTTTAAGATTGTATAGCTATAGATTTTAATATACGTGTATTATCAGTGGAAATGCAGAGTAAGAAATGTTGCCTTCAATCCATGTGTTTGCCATCAACATAAATCCAGAACACTCTGCTGTATAAATAGACGTCCGACACCGACATTGCACTACAGCGACATTGCAACTAATTGCACAATTACGACTCGTTTTAGCTTTTTGTCGTAACGTCTTTAACAACGGAGACGCGCCGCCGGAAGCATCTCGCATACTTAAACCTCGAATGTGCGTCGTTTCCGCCGATCGAGCCTTAGGGAATGATAAACAGACAACGTTGAGAATTCCATCTTGCTTTGTTTATTTTTATAACTCAGCAAACACCATTTTTAGATGTCGGCATTCTTGTTCTATGTTAAACGTAAGCCCAGTTTTTTGTCTTGAACATACTTGTCAAGTTTACTGTATATTTATAACATCACGGATTAGATTTAGTATAACTAAACCGATACATAGGGACACCCTTAGGGCTCAATTAACGTATCAGAGTGCGAAAATTTTGTTTGGATTAAATTACTGCAGAAAAAAATCATTCTCTTTGTTAGAACAGGTGTTTAACTGTTTTTAAATTGACTAATTTTAGTTTCTCACTAAAGCACCCAAGTTATAATAAGGTAAAGTTATAATTACTTTGAAGCTTGATTAAGTTAGCACTTGTATAGCTCATCGATTTCTACTCAGATCTTAATGTGACCTTAATTAACGGTTACACAGCGAGAGACCTAGAATTGAGGCTAATTGGACCTAACTCATTGCCTTCCGTGTTTAAACCTAGCGTATACCAGTTTTTAGAGCATTTTTTTTAAATCGGTACGCATTTCTTGACCTGCAATGTTATTTATCCAATAATGTGGCTTGCAAGTTGCATGTGGTAATTCAAAAATCGATCAATAGATGGCGTTGATAAAACAAAACGCAATCATAATATTTTTTTTTAATAAAAAGATTATTCACTTCGAATATTAGTATATTTTTTACAACGTAGTTTATAAATAGATAGTTTTATTTAAGTAATATTTTTAATGTGATAGCTGGCCAACAAGAATACCTCAACCTAGGTTAAAAAGAAAATAAAACAGCAGTGGATTTTGGCGGGAATGAAAGTACAAGATGTAAAACCCAAGAAGTGACAACGAAATTGATTGTGAACTTGTACTTTATTGTAAATAGTGTCTTAACAAAGTAATGAAGAAGATATTTGACCTTTCTATATTTTCATAAGTCTTTGCGTACTTGTTTTGTTAGTTTCATTATTTATCCTAAGGCAACGCAATGCTAGGTAACAAGGCAATATATCAGGATGATTTATACATTAGCAATTGTAATATTTAGTTTGTATAATCGTGCTTCAAGACATTATTCATTTCCTTCGTGTAACAGCTTACTAATAAATTAGTCTCACTACAATCCCGTAGTTTACTTTGTTTAGAGGTGAATGAAACGATATTCTTAAAAAAAATTAACTAACATGATAAATGCGAAAGTAGATATATGATAGATGTTTGTAAGAAGGTATACCCAGAACGGCTCAAAGGATCTTGATAAAATTTGGCATAGATGTAGAGCATAGGTTGCTTATTTTTACATATTTTATATTTATTTTTACATATTTTATACATAAAAATGATTGTAAAACTAACATTAAGTGTTCAATGTTAATGTTAAGTATATCTGACTATAGGTTAGTAAATTAATAGATACGGCAGTTTATACACGTAGTTAAAGTCCGTGTCTAAATTTATACAATGTCTATGGTATGCTTTATGTAATTGATATAAATTTATGCGTCGTAAATTCTTCTGTGAGTTACATTTGGGATGATAATGAGGATATTATAAGCACAAGAGGCGCCTAGTTAACTGGCGACCGTGTAAATTGGCCGCATAATAATAAGGGTATGTTTACATTAGTTAACATTATAATGATAACCACACAAAAGGTAGAAATGCTAGTCAAAGCGTCTTTACAAAAGAAATACTGTCTCTTCTAGTCTAAAGTTGTATGAAAATAAGTCATGTTGGATATAAAGGATATGTTTATTATTAGTGGTCCATAACAAATACATCTTCTTTAAATGCCATTCTATATTTTTTTAATCTATGCTTTTACCTAAGGCGAACTTTGGACCCTTTGCCGCAATTTTATTATTCGTTAACTAGATCGTTATACCGTATGCCTGGAGACCTTCATACTAACTAATAACAACAGGTCGTACGGAGAATCATTTGACGTGTGAAATGCGTGGTAAAGAATTTTAGCCGGACGCCCAATGAAAAAGCCTACCTAAGTCCGGCTTTTTTCCGGACGTCTCACTCGCACCCCGCATGCGGCCGCTAACGACTAATGTAATTGCGCCATTATATCGCTTTTGTTAAGTTCCAAAGCAAATGGTGGTAATTTTTTTGCATTACAGCAACGCGTTTACTAAGAATCGTTATAAAAGTGCCGGATGGTGTAGCAATGGTTGTGTAAGACAGTTCGCTATAAAAATATCCAAGACCATTCGAGACGGCGTATTGTACCGTACTAAGTATTATTGCTGTGGTCCAAGTGTACACAGCTAAGTAAATAAATACGTACACATTTATGACCTGCGTGTATATTTAGAATTAATCTTGGAACAAAAATCTCTTTTCCAAAAAAATGCATCGTGTTTCTCGGATAGGAAAACTTATCTTTTATATACGAAAAATCCGATATTCTTTTGAGTTTAACAGTGTTAAAATTAACAAATTAAACATCTTTGAGAAAATTGTATATCGTAGAAATAGCTAAAATTTCAATATTATTATTTTTTTTTGTACAATAATCGCTGAATATTTCTTATTGGACCAAACATGGCAAAAGAAGAAACGCAGCAACATTAGTAGGCGAGGGAAATTAGGATAAAAACAGTTTGAATGCACACAACACGCCGCCAACTGCCTGCCACATACACAAACGTTGCTATAATAATTCTAGCTACCATTTACAACATATATGTTTTATGAAATACTAACTTTCGCCCGTGACTTTATCCGAGTGTAATTTTAAAAAGTCTGGAATAAAACATAGCCTATGTTACTCATTAATTATGAAGCTTTTTAATTGTAAAAGAATTTTGGAAGTTATTTTTGAGTCTATCCTCGGCTGTATTTCCAAACCAATACAACTTAGGGACCTTCAAGAAGCGAGCATACCATTTCCTTAAAGGCCGGCAACGCATCTACAGTTCCTCTGGTGTTGCAGATGTCCATGGGTGTCGTTGATCACCTCGGTGTTCCCGCCGCTCGTTTGCCCCCTTCCCTTATAAAAAAAAAAGTTTTTCCGTCAAAGAAAAAAATGCAAACAATTTCTCTTTTTCTAATAATATTTAATATGAACTTGCTATGGCACGCGGCTTCGTCATCGTGGTATTATAACACTGAGCTTATGTACAATTCCAGACTTGAGTATATTAGTTCCAAATTTCATCGAAATCCTTTAAGTCATTCTTAAATTACGAGGTGACAAACATTCATTCAAACATTTTGCATTTATAATATTTATGAGATAAATTAATTTCGAAAGTATTAGCTATCGATGATTCATCAAATTAGTTTTTTTAATTACGTAATATTATTGAAAGTAATCGGTATTTAAAAGTAAATGTTAGAACGTAACAATTGCATACAACAAATAAACAGCGGAACGATTTCTTGTTAAATTACGGAAGAATTGTAAAACGAAATACTGACGAAAAAAGTTCTGTTTTTATAATACACGCGATTTGTCATGTCTACTCTTTGACGACATAAAACGTGTTGGCTTTTACCTTATTACTAGCAAAAGAACATTACCACGACACATGCAATCTGTAAATTATCGAAAAATATTTATTGTATAATTTTAATACAAAATATTCATAGTGAGTTTATTCTTTTACAAAATTGAACCTAATAAGAAGATTATTTTGTCTACAATGTCTCGAGATCACTTACCGTGAGTTTCTAAGACCAAGATGACTGAATAAAACGTTTTGTTTTATATCATAAGGTGGCAAACGAGCGAGCGGCCACATGAAATCGCTGAAATAACGAAGTGACCGTTGCTCATAGATATACGCAATTGCATATGAGTTGCCTTACTTTTAATCGACGGAGGAGAGGATGCGCAGAAAGAAAATATTTTCCCTTTCCATGCATCCTCTCATCCGGAAAGTCCACTTCCACTTCACATCCTTTCCTTATAAGAAAAAGGGTGGAAAGGGAAAGAGGACTAAATTAGGCCCCCGGGACGCAAACGTCGTATCGTTATCCCTGTCATTATCATTGAAAAAACAGAGACAACAATATGTTTCAAACGAGTATTTCTTTTGGGAATTTCCCAACTATAGATTGTTTATTAAATTTGTAATGTTTAGTGATGTAGATTTTCATCATTTATAAATTCCTTAAAACCAGATCTAATAGTAAGCAATACATCGCGCGGCGAGTGGGAGTTTCGCAACAGTTGCCCTACTTGCCGGCAACTATTTTAATATCCGCCGCGCAATGTACGATGTTTATCGTTCAATCATCGCTGGCTCTAATCCGATGGTATTGCCTCGCAAGGCTTGCATTGCGCTTCCTGTATGGCGTGGGACATGTTCAATTTCAAACTACATTCATTTGAAAGGAAATGGATTTTATAACTAGGTAACTTCATCCTTTATCGTAAATGTCGTGACTAACAGGTTTGTTTATGAAATGAATTTACCAGTTTCCTCAATGAATAGACCATGCTTTAAGCACTCAATTATTTTAGTATTCTGATAAAGAAATTACTTTAAAGAAATAATTATTGAAAACATACTTTTACTAGACTTTACAACAGTTTAAAAAGATTCGCCATCAAGTTCAACAAACAAGTCCTTTTATCATCCGATAATTTTAGACAAATTTATTGATGTCATTAGTTTTATCTTTTCTTTGTAGTGTACCGACTAATGTCTAACATAGTTCTAGGATATGATTCAACAACAACATAATTTCGTAACCTAAAGGGGTAGACAGAGACCACGAATCTCCAATTGGCCCGATCCTGACATAACTCTCTCGCTTCTACATTCATACATCTACGCATACCAATAGTCGAATTATATAGTAGCATAGAAGGCGGGAATCGAACCTAAGACAATGTGTCATATGTACCCTTAACATTTGGGCTATTGGTGCTTTTCTTACATTATTGCGTGTTTGTTTTAGAACCTGGACAACTGGAAGTCATCGCGGCGGAAGCGTGTGGAGCACATTATTGAGCGGTGCGTGGAAGTACGCCGCATGGAGTGCGAGCCCACCCAACCGCGCGCCAAGAGCAAGACGTTCAACGAGATGCTGGAAGAACGGTCAGTATATGCTATAAGATTCGAACTTTATTGCGGTCATCGTACTTTTACTCTGTGAAGAAAATGTTTTATGTGAAATTCCGAGCGGCCATAAAGTGTGATGGAAACTTTGTACCAAGTTAATTTCAAACTTTATTTGATTTATGAAATCTGTTTGGTGTAGTTCAAAATTTTATATGTAATTAGATAAAAAAACAGTCGGCTGATTAAAAATTCCCTTATATTATCTATGTTATATGTCAGATATCATGTTGATTTCGATTGTATATGATAACAGCCATCAATATGCTGTAAATCTTTAAGTTATAAATCCAATACGATTTAGTTTTTATTTATAGACAAGATTTATATAAATGCGTTTCTAAATCAAAGAACTTTGTATACTATAATATATATATGAAACAAAACGTCTCGTGTCTATATTCCATGACGGAGAAAGGTGGGAAGTATCCCGTATCCATGACGTCACGGTTGGGGGGTTACATAAATTCGAACTGGACACAAGGAAGCTTTCGTCGGGCTGTATCGGTTACCGAACTTCCCTCACCAGCTACTCACCGAGCTAGTATTGCGTTACAGGGCATGAGCCTTGCTGAATATCTCAGATTTATAGCTACTCTTATGAATACATAATATACTTTATCTCATCTTGTATTTATAGATATTAGAATAATATAAATACGAATATCTGTCTCAATTTGTCCTTCAAAATTAAGTACGTTACCCATTTACAATTAAATTATCGCATGTATTCCATTTATAGAGATTGTTGCCTCACGAACCCACGGTAGTTTATTCATAATACATTCATAAGAAAGGAATATAAACTTAAAAAGTGAAAGAAATATGATATATACAAAAACCATAATGTTTTGTTATTTAATCTATTAAACTTTCTAAGTCTGGAATTTAATCTTTTAAACCAAGATACGTCCTTTAACCTAGCAATCACAGCTTTTATTCTGAGCAAAAGTAATAAATCCGCAATAGTGTGAACAGATAGAATCAGGCTAACATTAAATCTCCATTAACCTAAATTCATTGATCCTCGCGACGACGAGCTTGGAAATTAATAACAAGATAAATCTGTCTCCAACGACGCGATCATATTAAATTATTCAAACTTTCGTGAGACATTATACTAAACTGATATATAAACATGGCTAACTTGAACAACAACACCACCGACGCTTTGGTATCAACATCGTCGACGACGCCGGCGCACCCCGTGCCCAAGGAGCGCAGGCGCGCAGTAAGCGACGGGCCGCTTCCGCGAAATAATACCAGTACCACTCATCGTGATGAAGGGCTCGAAACTAGTCGGTGCCGACGCGATCATAGTTCCATCTCCCATACATTTAAGTAAATACATTTCTTAGTCTAAAGAGTGTATATTCTTATATTCAGATTCGGTCTCAGAAACCCACAGTAGGAATAATTGGCCTACTTTAGCTTTTTGTAAGTTAAACAATTTATCCGGCTTCTGAAATAAAAACGTCTCTGTATAGTTCGCGTTAATAGTCCGTTTATTTGTAATTAAGAATGTTTTGGCGGGAGTTCGTCGAACGTCGTTCGAACGTTTTGCGTAAAGGAAATTGCGTGGTACATGCCGCGAATGAAATTATGCTCGTTTTAGACGCATTACGTAAAACATTTAACATCCGTTTGTTTATAAAATACCAGTTACTTCGGCAATCAATAATGCACATATCAATGTATTGAAAGGCAGTGAATGACGCAATAACCTTGACTTTAGTTTAAATGGTCATGTAATTGAATTCCTTATTAATAATCAAGGCAATAAATGAACTCGTAATTCTGCACAATTATTGCAGTAGTTCGAAAATTTGTCTCTAATCTTCTTTTTATCTTTAGTTTTTTTTAGTCTATTTTTATTATAAAATATTTGACACATTTATTTATATTGATTGTTCTTTGTAGTTTATATAAGCAAATTATAATTTTATTAACTGCCGCCCGCGAGTCCGTCCGCGAAGATGTAAAAAATAATTAGTAGCCTATATGTTCTTCCAGACTATGTTCTACATCTATGCCAAATTGCAGCGAGATCCATTCAGCGGCCCAAATATACGTAATAGCATCCATTCATCTAAACTATCGCATTTATATTAGTAAGATATTAATTACATTAAAAACATAATATAATTATAATAATAGTATATGTAGTTACTCTGCAAGGTCCATTCCGCAATAAATCTCAATTGACACAATTACAGTCGGCATTATCTCTGATTACCCGTTTTCAACAGAGCGCCGCAATGCTGTTGCATTAAACTCGTTGAGTTAACTTGCGACACATTTGTAATGTTATGTTATTAAATGTCACTTGTAACATTTCCTACTCAATAAGAACGATGCATTTACTTTTAATAAATAATCATACTAATATTATAAACTAGCTGTCGCCCGCGACTCCGTCCGCGCAGGATTAAAAATAGATGTTGGCCGACTTACTCAATATGCTTACAAAATTTCATGAGAATCGGTCAAGCCGATTCGGATGAGTATGGGAACGAAAATTGTGACCCGAGAATTTTATATATAAGAAGATGTGAAGGTTTGGATGGATGGATATTTCGTTGAAGGTATCTTCATAACAGCTGTATGGATCTCGGTGAAATTTGGCATAGATCTAGAACATAATCTGGAAGAACACATAGGCTACTAATTAAGTTTTTTTTTATTCCGCACAGACGAACTTGCGGGCGACAGCTAATTTATATATAAATTTAATCATTTGAACTTCAATAATTCAATAACAGTTACTATGACTAATTTTAACTAGAAAATGTTAACCACATTCCTTATACTAATGACTTTAATTAGTTTTGACGTCACTTACTACTCCACAGATACGATTTAGTTAATATATTTTACGCTAAAGGTTACCTTAGTAACCATTAAACATCTATGCGTGGGACAGTTGATATAATCAATAAAATATCAGTCATCAAAATGTCTTATTTTGCAATAAAACTTTACAAGAATATCAGTGAAATGTAGTGACGGACTTAAGGTGTCTTTTTACAAGAGATAGAATAAGATAAAAATATATAACAAAATAATTGTAAGTTGGATATAAATTCTTAATTAATTAGTTATATAATTATTCTCTCAACATGTCATTAACCTAAGTAACACGATACTCAGAGCTCACATCCTCTAACGAATTTGTCGTGTTTCGTGTCGTGTCCGCGCCGTGCGCGCCGCGTCTCGTCTCCTCTGACAACCGCAACGGGGACATAGTATCGTTTACCAGTGTAATACGCCCTGTATTAGGGTTGGCAATGTCAAGAAAACATCATAACTATAATAGGAAGTTAACAAATAGTTTATCATACGTTATTTATAGTTACATAAAAGTACAGATTATATTTAAATATATAGATCTTACACATATTAGAAATGAGAATGATTGGATATATGGATGGATGGATGTTTCTTAGAAGATATCTCCGGAACGGCAACATGGATCGGCCTCAAATTTGGCATAAATGTAGAACATATTCTTGAAGAACACATAGGCTACTAAATTTATTTTTAATCCCGCGCGAAGGGAGTCGCGGGCAACAGTTATTTGACACATCACAGAAGGCAAGTGATACGTCTACTTTAAACATAAATTTCCAAATTTTATCTAATTACAAAATTGAAAAACATTCAACGACTTCATTTGACAATTCACGATTATAAAACAAATTATTATAAACCAAAGAAGTTTTTGACAGCCCTAGCTTCACCGGTCACTATACCTGTGCTAGACAAGGAATAACGTTACACATAATACATTATGTAACATGAATTACTTGTTCAATATTAAGTTAATTAGCAGTACAACACCAAAATCAAATTATAAACATGTTCATAAAATAACATAGTGTATTGTGTACCCACAACTCAACGTATATATACATACAAACTTAGTTAACGGAGAAAATAACTCTATATAGCATTAGCAGTTGCCCGCAACTTCGCTTGTGCGGAATTACAAAAAATGTGCTAACAGTCTATATCACCCAGGGATAGTACAGCTTCCCAACAGTGAAAGATTTTTTCAAATCGGTTCATTACTTTCGGAGTCAATTAAATGCAAACTCACAGCCAAATCTTTCCTCTTTATAATCGTACTAATATTATAAATGCGAATGTTTGGATGGATACATGTTTAAAGATATCTCCATAACGGCTGAACGGATCTCGATGAAATTTGGCATATTCATAGAACATAGTGTGTACGAACACATGGGCTACTAATTATTTTTTAATACTGTGTAGTTTTTAAAGAGATTAAAAAAAACTTGGAGAAACGTTTTGTTTGAGTAATGAGTAGTAAATAATTTCCGCTCTGTTAATCCATTACGTTTATTTAATCTGTAACACTTACAATGCTGCTCTAACTCTTCTCAACTCGGATAAAGAATTGCGAACACGATGACGTAACGCAATGTAATCGTATATTTTATAACAATCTTTTGTTAAGAAGTTTTTAATTACAACATTCACTTTGTTTTGTTACTGTCAGGGTATCGCCTTCGTCTTTCAATTTCGTAATCCGGTTCTTTTTAAATATTAGTCTTTGAGTGTATTAAATCGTTAATTATTACCAAATTAAAAACTACTAGAAAGTCAACAACTAGTTCATCGTATTATAAATGCGAATGTTTAGATGTATGGATGTTTGTAAGAAGGTATCTCCAAAACGGCTGCATGGATGTCGCTAAAATTTGGCATAGATGTAGAACATGGTCTGGAACATAGCCTACTAATTATGTTTTTTTGTAATTTCGCGCCAACGGAGTCACGGGCGACTAGTGGTTCATATTTGATTTCCTTATGTCTTATGCTAGTCGTCTTAAAAAATATGTTAGGGTACAATTTTAAGATTGCAAAATAAATTGGCTGTGGGCTACACTAATTAAGTTTTTTTATATATCCACGCGGACGGAGTCGCGGGCGACAGCTAGTTTCTTATATTCTAA